AAGAATACCTATCTATTTATTGATCGATAGATAGATATAGACATAGATATAGACATAGACATAGACATAGACATAGACATAGATATCTGGGCCTCACTCCTGAGTTTCGGTCCCATGAATGAGCAGTTCTGATGCTTTGGCCCTGGCTGGGTGACAGTGACCAAAGCAAACTGCTTATCAGGAGCCATTGAAGAAGAGTAAAGAGAGGCCAGACTGGACCCCATGGTCCCTCTCAAGGGCATACCTCCAGTGCCCTGAGAACCCCCAAAGAGTCCCGCATCCGAGGAGCACACACTAGTAACCCTGCCTTTAACATAGACCTTCGAGGTCCCTCCTCCAAGCTACAGCAAAGGTTCCTGTACTGGCTGTGAGCCAAAACCCTCTGGCAAGTGCTTTAAAGACCCCAGAGCATGAACCACTGGCCCAGTGTGTGGGAAGGGGCTGCCCTGTAGAGGCCTGAAGCACTCCTTGCTGAGAGTGTGGTGAGGGGTGAGGCCACCATGAGTACAGAAACCGGGGTGAGAACCAGTCTAGCTAGACAGAATCTAGCTAGTGATAGGGAGATGGCTGACTAACCTCCACCATGTAAAGAGAAATGACTTCAAGCGTTTTTCTTTTTCTTTATTTATCCCTTTCTTTCTTTCTTCCTTCCTTTCTTTGCTTAATATTTATTTATTTACTTACTTACTTATTTATTTTGTTTTTTTGAGACAGGATTTCTTTGTGTAACATCCCTAGCTGTCCTGGAACTTGCTCTGTAGAGCAGGTTGACCTCAAACTCACAGAGATCCACCTGCCTCTGCCTTCCAAGTGCCAGAATTAAAGGTGTGCTCCACTACCGCCTTGCTCAGAGCATTTTTTAAAAGGCAAGTTTGAGATCTCCAGAAAAACTGAACATAAAACACAGTGTACGGATCCCATCCCAATGCACACAGCTCCCCCACTGTCGGCACAGTGTACTGCAGGTGCACCTGCATCTGAGCCACTACTGCCCCTTGGTGGTTAACTGACAACATTGCGCACTCAGGGGCCCCCTCTCGGCCCTGCACACTCAGTGCCATTAGACTAATGTATAAAGACAGATATCCACCTCTGCAGAAGCATAGAGAATCATATTAGGAAGTGCTCGCAGAATGCAGTGTACTCAATCAGAAAGCTAAACAGCTAACGCCAGAGAACAGGACTGTAAGAAGCAGGGAGTAGCCACCTCCCAATTTGCCTGATACCCTCGGCTTGTGGTCCATTGCCTGCTAATCTGAGTGTCAAATGCCACTGTTGACCAGAGCAGTGACCTTTTCCAAAGGCAGAAGCAAAAACTGGGGGTAGCAGGGGAGCTCAGCTGGTAGAACATTATGTCTGACATTAGCAAGCCCCAGCCCTTCATAAAACAGGCTGTGGAAGAGCACATCTTTAACCCAGCCCTTGGGAGATGGAGGCAAAAAGTTCAGGAGTTCAAAGCCATCTTCAGCTACATGGTGAGTTCAAAACTATCTGGGGCTAGCTAGAGATCTCAAAGAAAAAGACAAAGGTACTTATTGCCAGCCTTGATGACTTGGCATGGGTGCCCAGGACTCACACAGTGAAAGAAGAACCAACTCCTACACGCTGTCCTCGGACCTACATACGTGTGCCATGGTGCACTCCCACACAAGGACAAGGAGAATGCAATTTAAGAAAGCAGAAACAGGCGGGGGTGGTGGCACATGGCCTTCATTTCCAACCTGGTCTACAAAGTGAGTTCCAGGACAGTAAGAGCTACACAGAGAAACCCTATCTCAAACAAACAAACAAAAAATGCAGAAGCAGTAGTACCCATGTACCTAATTCCCACAAAAACACTTCTCTGATTTGGGGACACTGATTCCAGAATATCTTTTAGATGTCTCTTCACAGGAGTTCTGTCACATAGAATGACGACATACCTAAATGATCAACTACCAGCTCTTCAAAAAAAAAATGGCAGCTGTTTGAGTAATGACCCCCAACATCCTCATTCCAAAGTGGGAGCCCTGGCGGTATGGGGGTACTCCCTCATTCCTTTAGTGATTTCCCTGGATCTGAGTGACTTCAGTCACAATGGCATCAGCTTGCAACCTTAGCTCTGACCAGAACTGCACCCCAATGCACAAAGCACATCTCACAGTACAGAACATGCCAGAGAACACTTGGCTTCATTGGTTTGCCTCTGGGTGCCCGTGTAAAGGTGTGTGTGCCCATGTGAAGAAGTGCACACCTATCTGAGGGTGTGACTATAGAACAGGAGAAGGACAAGGCAGAAGCCAGTTTACTTGGACTTTTCTCTTTCTACTATATATTTTGTTCCTAAATGTATCCTACCATCTCTCTGCCTTGCCCCATTCTAACATGAGTTAAAGTGCCCCATATTTATAATTGGATCCCAATCTCTGACTCCCCCAACTCTGTTCTTCTAGGTGGCACCTCATCCTGGCATGTCTGGCTTTCACGTACCGGCATCTCATGCACTGTGGGTGCTCTGCTCCCATAGGTCTGGTTACTGGTCCTGTACATAGAGACAGCCTCATTGGTCCTGTAGAAGAGAGAGACACTCTGTTTCCCACTCCTTCTAAGCCAGTCAAGTCATAACCTGAAAGAATCAGATTGATGGAGTTCTTTTGGTGATGTCCCCAGACAGGAATACCATGCCAACCCTGCTCCCACTGTGGTCACTCTCTCCCAGCAGGCCCCTGGCCTCCTTTGCTGGCCATGACCCCTGATCCTTTCAAGGCAAACCCCTACAGAACACCCAGCCAGCAAATGGTGGAGTTAGGAGCCTCGGTGGAACCTTGGTACACAGACTGCTACTGCCAGGCATGTAGCTACCTCCGGAACTACATCTCAACTTCAAGACCCTGTCACCCAGCAGTCCCTACACTTCTGATCCTCAACCCTTACAGAGGCCTAGTTTCTGTCCGCTGGAGCAGAGGAAGGTTTGTGGTTTATGAAGCTGTGGTCTGTGACACAGAGGCTACGGGTGGGACGCAGTTCTGCTTCCTACTCTGAGGCCTCAGCAAGCCGTCTTCTCGCTTGCGGGAAGGGCTTGGTAGCGTGCCTGCAGGCTTCCATCGTTTGCAAGGGAGCCACACTGCCCTGTGAGGTCACTTTCAGAGGAGTTCCAAAAGCGGAGAGACCCCACACACAACCTTACATCCATCCGTGGTTGCTCAGGCAGAAGGTACACGACCCTGATAGTAATGGTCACACAAGGCACAGGGTCCACCTCTGGCTTCTTTTCACCTCAGCGGTCAGGCACTTGGGAGTTTTTACACACATGGCTAAAGTTAGGGTCACCTGAGGCACCCTGCTGCCTGCCTGGAGGAGGTGACCCCAGTCCTCACCTGTAGCCATGAAACCACCCCGGGTTGTTGAACCTGACTGGGAGCTGCTCGCTCACGCGGTAGTAGTCGCTCGTCTTCTCTGGGGCGGGCTTAGCCTTTGTCTCCACCGGCTCCGTGCACTCTTGGGGGTTTTCTTCAGACATTTAACCTCCACAGAAAAGTAGCCCCCGACCAATAGCCAAGGCTGCGGCAGCAGCGGCAGGGCGTCCTGTTGCTAGGCAACGATGTCACCTGACAGGGAGGAGGGGCGGTTCTTTGTGGACTGCTTGCCCCCGGAGCTGTAGGCAAATCTAGAATCTTCCGGAGGGCGAATAACAAAGGGGACAGTGAGGAGTTCTAAGCTAGGACGGTCACGCGAAGGAATCCCAAGTTTTCACGCTTCGGCCCCTCGGGGGTACCGCTGGCCTTTTTCTGCGACTGTTGGGAACATCCTGGTATCATCTCAAAATGCGATAGGAAGCAGATTCTGGGCAAATGAGACCTTAGAACCTGTGGCTTAACTAGCAAATTCACAGGAATCAGGTGCTTCCGATCTCTCCCTGAGCAAACACTCACTGGTCTGTCATTTGCTGGACTTGCCAGGACTTCTCTCCTTGGCCTCTCGCCCCATGCTCCCCACAACTCAGCCTACATTTAGGTGCGAGATGTTGCTAAATTTAGGCCAAATACTATTGAAATGTTCAAATATGATCTTGTGAGCGGTGCAGGTATTTATGACATGCTAGTGCATGCGGGAGGCATATCTCTGAGTTCGAGACCAGACTGATGTACATAGAGTGTTCTAGGCCAGCCAAGGGTACATAGTGAGACCCTATATCAATGATGATGATGATAAGTTTTAAAACCAATAATAAAAGCCACTCGGGGCATAGTGTGGTAGTGTACTCGGAGACAGAGGCAGGCAGATATCTGTGAGTTCCAGGCCAGGCCAGTCAGAGAGACTTTGGTTCATTGTTGTCGTCGTTCTTTAAAATAATACGGGGCTGGAGAGATGACCCAGTGGTTAAGGGCATTTATTGCTCTTGCAGAGAACCTGAATTCAACTATCAGCACCTACAACGTGACTCTCAAACATCCTTAACTTCAGTGCCTAGGGATCAGACACCTTATGATCTCCACGGGCACCAGGCACTCACGGGGTGCATATATATGTATATACATATACATATAATATATATATATATATATACACATACATGTAGGCAAAGTACTCATACACAAAATAAATAAACTTAAAACAAAGTTTAAAGAAAAAAATGTGCCGGGCGTCGTGGTGGCGTATGCCCCTAATCCCAGCACTCGGGAGGCAAAGGCAGGCGGATCTCTGAGTTCATGACCAGCCTGGTCTACAGAGCTCCAGGACAGCCAAGGATTCATAGATAAACCCTATCTCAGGAAAACAAACATAAAGACCACTTTGAACCAGAGGGTCGCCTCCTCCTGACCAACTCTGAGAGGACGCTGCAATTTTACGTGGAGGAACACGCTGTAGATGAGTGCCCCACCTCACAGCTCGGCACCGAACACCAGCCACCTCACAGACTCGCCCTGGTGGATCCCTCCTGCAAGGTAGTGCTCAGAGGGAGCCGGGGGCGGTCCTCCAGTCCTGCAGGCGGCGCTGCGACCCCACGCTCTCGGCGGAGAAGGCGCTCTGCCTGGCAGGAAGCGTCTCCGCCGCGTTTCTGTCCACGCGCCAACCATGGCGCCTTCTCCGGCCGTGCTGACCCGGCTGCTGTGTGCAGGTGAGCGCGCAGGACCCCCCAAGACGGGAGGGACCCTGGGATCCGAGAGAGGAGGACAGGGATGTGGTCAGGGCGCAGTCCCACCGCCTCTCTCCCCGCAGGTGTGTGGCGCTGGCCAAGTTTCCTGCAGAAGGCGACCCCGGGCCCGGCGGGGCTGAATGGTAGGACAGTGTCGGGAGCTCAAGTCCCCGTGGTCAGCGAGCCCCAGGACGACGACGGTAAAGGCCAGCGGCTGGAGCTGGGTCGGGGAGCAGAATCGTGGAGGGGTTGTCATTGCGGGATCCCCAAACGAACCCTGTGCTAATCTCTCTTAAGTGGGGGTGGACGGGAGAATTGCCCCCCTTCCCCGCTGTGGCTTAGTAGCTCCCGAGACCAGTGAAGACCAGTTTTGGATCTGTTGATCTTGCTGGTCTCTTGGCGGGGCATTTGATACGCCAGAAGTCGATGAGGTCCCTGTCTCTTTCTCTTTTATCTGTGGAGACTAGGGGAAGAGATGAACAGGCTTTCCCCACACAGAGTCCGCCTCAAACCTTGGCTCTAGCCCTTTGCCGCCGTAAAAATGCACCTGTGTCTTCCAGACCTTTCCTAACATTCCTCATTCTCCCCCTTGAGGGCCCCACTTCCAAGGGACCCTTGAGTCTTTGGTTGGTGCCACAGTGCCTTTCCTTCCTTTTCAGATCTCCAGAGCAGGATCCTAGATGTGCCCCTGCAACATTCGGACTTCTTCAATGTCAAGGAGCTGTTTTCTGTGAAGAGCCTCTTCGAGGCCCGAGTACACCTGGGCCATAAAGCCGGTTGCCGGCATAGGTAGCTGGCACAGACAGTATGGGCAGGGCAGTGGGATCGGGTCAGGGTTGGAAGTGGGGGAGCGTTAACAGCAACACCAAGTGTGATGCTAGTGTTGATACGGTTCATAGACATGGTGAAAATTGAGGGTCTTTACGGGCCTGAGACCCCTGAGTTTCTGCCACTCCAGTGGAGAGGTCCTGCTATATAGAACTGGAGTGGCCATAGAGAGCAATACAAGACAGAGTGCCAGGCCTGGGTTCTTGTTTAATGTGCAGTTGGCCCTCAAATCTCCGTGGGGGAAGGTGGGACAGGTTGAGCCACACACCCGATGCTTGCTGGTCAACTCCACAGCACTGTATCCCCATCCCGTCACTCACTAGACAGAGTGTGGTGGGGAGCAGACGAATGTAAATAGTACCTCACAGCCTGCAGTGCCCTCAGTTAAGATTCTGAATTGCTGGGGAGGAGGTGGTTGGGGAAGGGGTAGCTTTGTGAACACTGTTCCACTCGCCTTGGGGTTTTTTTGTTTTTGTTTTTGGCAGGTTTATGGAGCCATACATCTTTGGGAACCGCCTGGGTCAAGACATCATCGACCTGGAACAGACAGCCTTGAACCTACAGCTGGCCTTGAACTTCACCGCTCATGTGGCCTACCGCAAGGGCATCATCCTGTTCGTGAGCAGGAATCGGCAGTTCTCTCACTTGATCGAGAAGACAGCCCAGGACTGCGGAGAGTACGCCCACACGCGTTACTTCAAGGGTGGTCTGCTGACGAACGCACACCTCCTCTTTGGGCCCACAGTCCGCCTGCCAGACCTCATCATCTTCCTGCACACGCTCAACAATGTCTTTGAGTCCCATGTGGCTGTGAGGGATGCTGCCAAGATGAACATCCCCACGGTGGGCATTGTGGACACCAACTGCAACCCGTGCCTCATCACTTACCCTATCCCTGGCAACGATGACTCGCCCCAAGCTATCCAGCTCTTCTGCAAGCTTTTCCAGACAACCATCAACAGGGCCAAGGAAAAGAGGAGGCAGATGGAGGCACTGCATCGGCTGCAGAGTTCTAGGGGGTCTGAGGGCAGTGGGACATCTGCACCTGATAAAAGCCATTCCCCATGACGGGAACCTCTGCTCCCACACTAGACAGGCAAGCCTGTTCTGAGCAGGAAACTCCTGTCCAACCCTGCCTGTATCCTCATTCCCCATCCTCAGCATCAGAGTCCTATATTCCCAGATCTGGCCACCCCAGAGTCCGATCATCCTGAGTTAAACCTGGTCTGCCTTTTTTCTGGGAGCAAACTCAAGTAAAGTACATATCCATGTGGCCTCTGGCATCCACTAAGACTTGGACATAGCTAGCCAAATGGAAGGCACTGTTTCTCTCTTGTCAGGAAGCCCTTGCTTCCACTTTGGGTGTGTATCAGGTGGGTTTTCAATTAAAATTAATACTTCATTCTCTGTCAGAAATTCCGAGCAAGACAATACTGATGTCCCTTAGGGCCCCCAATAGTCGCCTCTAGATCTATAACCAGACTTAAAGGCTAAGCAGGCTCCTAGAAGGGTAGGAAGTATAGTCCCTAAGGAGGTGTGCTGCACCATTAAAGAGCTTACTGAGTTTGCTAATCCATTCAAGCAGTCGGGAATATGTGTAGGAGTGGATTTTAAGGTGTGGGATAATGGTGAAAGGAACACAGAACTGAATCAGGCTGAGTTTGTTGAAAAGGACCCTCTGAGTGGAGATCTAGGTTCACTACAGAAACTCGCAGTTAAAATAAAAAAGTGTCCACAGTTTGCTTGAAAGGTTGGCTGAAGCATTTGTCAAAAGATGACCTGGGAGCAGGAAGGTCCTTGTGCCCACAGATCATTGGGGAAACCAGAAATATTAATCACACAGATGTCTCCTCAAAGAAGGGGTAAATACCTGCTTTCCATGAAGAAGGCTGGAAGTGGATACTGTTATGACTTGGTGACCTTTGCTATCTGTAGAACCAGACCTCACCCAAAGTCCTCAGGATGTTTACCTAGACTTCCCCTCCTTAGACCTTTTTTGGTTTTTTGATTTTCAGTTTGGTTTGTTTGGTTTTGGTTTTTCAGGACAGGCTTTCTCTGTGTAGCCTTAACTATCCTGGAACACACTCTGTACATCTCAAACTCACAGAGATCCGCCTGCCTCTGCCTCCCAGAGTGCTGGGATTAAAGACGGGCCACCACTGTCCCATTAGCTTTGTTTATCAGTCAATAGAACTCATCCTTAGGGGAGATGTCACAGGTCCTTTAAAACCTGCTGACCTCTATATAGGCTATCTGGGTCAGAGACCAGACAGATCCTAGGCCCTTAAACAACAGAACCCATCTTCATGGTCACATGTACTTTGAGCTGAGTTTCAGTGTGATTATGCCTCCCTGTGCATCAGGGATTATATTACACCAGGAAGCTTTTTTTCCCAAATTGTACCATGTTTAAATGTGCTTACAATAAACCACCTGATGTCAGATGCTCTAGAACTTGGAACCAGCACCAACTAAGTTGGACTGAACTGAGTTTTCCTTCAAGGTTTGTTTCTCTGCAGGCCTTGACACTTACAGGGACCCCCATAGCATACTGAAAAGGAGTTGGAGTTGCCTGATATCCCTTGGTTTAGTGTTGACAAAGGGTTTTTAAAGTTCAGGGAAATTGCAGTGCTGAAGTGAGTATGTTGTGTAAAACATACTCCACATGGGAAGGCCTAGAAGACACACCCTTCACTAATCCTGTAAGACACAAAATGGTGAGGGGCAGAAGCACATTTAAGAAGATCTGCTGTCACGTACTGGCTTTGTGGGAGCCTAGGCAGTTTGGATGCTCACCTTACTAGACCTGGATGGAGGTGGGTGGTCCTTGGACTTCCCACAGGGCAGGGAACCCTCGTCTTTGGGCTGACGAGGGAGGGGGACTTGATTGGGGGAAGGGGAGGGAAATGGGAGGCAGTGGTGGGGAAGAGACAGAAATCTTAAATAAATAAAAAAGAAGATCTGTCTCCCTTTTCCTTATGCCAGACTTTAGGGCTGGAGATGCTGCTGCTCGGTTGGATGAATTAAATGCAATCAATAGATTTGCCAGGTGATCTGTCTTTAATCCCAGCACTTGGGAGGCAGACAGATCTCCCCCAGTCTCAGATTGTATAACTGGGATAGATAGAAGTCAGCAGAATTCTCACACTGGTTCCCTGATGTGTGGAATATGGGCTATCATGGTTGGAAGGGCTGAATGGAAGCCTTTAGCGTTGCCTCTGCCAAGAAAAATAGTGAATAAAAACAGCACCGCATCCCTGGAGGAACTGCAGAAATGAGTGCCATCAAGGACTTGAAAGATGCAGGGCTGGCGGGTGGTACCCACTACATCTCCCTTTAACTCTCCTGTCTGGCCAGTGCAGAATACAGATGGATTGTCAAGAATGACAGTTGGTTACGGAAAACTCAATACTGACTCCAGCTGCAGCTGCTGGACCAGATGTGGTGTCCTTACTTCAGCCGATTAACACATCTCCTAGTACATGGTTTGCAGCTGATGATTCAGCAAATACCTTGTTCTTGGTACCCATCCATAAAGACCACTAGAAGCAGTTTGGCCAGGCCAGCAGTAAATCTTTGCTGTTTTACCTCAAGGATATACTAACTCTCCAGCCCTGTGTCATAACTTAGAAGGGGTCTTGACCATTTGTCTCTTCCACAAAATATTACATGGGTGCACTATGTTGATGACATTATGCTGATTGGACCAAGCAAACTGGAGGTAGCAACTACTTTGGACTCGTTGGTAACACATACACACATCAGAGGAGGGGAAGTAATCCAACCAAAATTCAAGGGCCTACCTCCATGAAATTCTTAGGAGTCTAGTGGTGGAGCACATGTGGAGGTACTCTTTCTAAAATATAGAATAAGTAAATGCTCATCAGAAGGTGGCTTCAGCTGAGGAGGTGTTCAATACAGTAATCAAGTAGATAGGATGGCCCAGTCTGTGGACAGTCAGCCTCTTTGCCCAGCCATTCCTGTCATTGCCCAATGGGCCATGAACAAAGTGGCCATGGTGGCACAGATGGGGCTTATGCATGGGTTCAATAACATGGACTGTCACTCACCAAGGCTGACCTGGCTACAGCTGCTGCTGAGTGCCAGATCTGCCAACAGCGGAGACCAACAACATGTGTAGTGAAATTTTGTGTGTGATCTAACAAAGTTTGCCTGAAGATCAGAGTGCAGAACTAAGCTACCAGTTAGCCATAGGGCCAGGCAGTGGTGGCACACACATCTTTAATCCCAGCACTCAGGAGATGGAGATTGATCTCTGGGAGTTCAAGGCCACCCTGGGCCACACTGAATCTATCTGAATCTATCTAAAAGAGAAACAGCTCATGCAAAGGTGATCTCAGCACTTGGGATCACATGGCTTTAATCCCAGCATTGGGAGGTGGAGACAGTAGTGATATGGCTAGGTAGAGAGAGGAATATAAGGTAGGAGGAGACAGGACCTCAGAAGCAATCTGAGGTTTCCTAGAGAGAGAGTCAGTCTGAGGATTTGTAGACAGGATCGCCCCTTCAGTCTGAACATTGGTAGAGGTAAGAACTCTCTAGCGACTGGGTGCTCTGCTTCTCTGATCATTCAGCTTTAACCCCTGCATCTGACTCTGACTTTTTATTATTAAGTCCAATTGGAATGTGAGTTATAGATATGACATCATTACCCAGGGTGACCAGCTATCAACCTGGTGGTAGAATGACTTCACTGGACCACTTCCCTGTAGAAAGGACAATGCTTTGTCCTTACTGCAGCAAATACTTATTCTGACTATGGATTTCCCTTCCCTGCACATACTTCTTCCACCAAAACCACCACCCATGGACTTACAAAGTGCCTGATCCACTGATGGTATTCCACGCAGTATTGCTTCTGACCAGGGAACTCACTTCACAGCCAGAGAAGTGCAACAGTGGACCCATGATCATGGAATCCACTGCTCTTACCATGCTCCCCACTACTCTGAAGCAGCTGGACTGATAGAAAGATGGAATGTCGTTTTGAAGACACAGCTACAGAGCCAAGTAGGTGACAGCAGCCTGGAGAGCTAGGGCAGAGTTCTGCAGAAGGCGGTAGATGCTTTGAGTCACCGTCCAAAATATGATGCAGTTTCTCTCATAGCCAGGATCTACAGGTCTAGGAACCAAGGGGTGGAAAAGGGAATAGCTCCACCAGCAATCACTCCTAGGAAAATTTTTGCTTCCTGTTTCCACCACCTTAAGTTCTGCTGACCTAGAAGTTTTGCTCCCAGAGGGTAGTAGTGCTCCTGCCAGGAGACACAATAAACATTCCATTGAACTAGAAGCTCAGACTGCCCCATCGGGTTTTCTGTGTTGCAAGGGTCTCTCAAAGAAGGGGAGTTACCCCCCAGAATGTAATCTAGGCTCTCTGGCAGCAGGGAGGAACAGTTTCTGTGAACTGAACCTCAAACCTCTCTATTCAGAAGCACATGTACTGATTATACACAAAGGCTGTGTTTGGGGTACAACAAGTTCCTTACACCAAAGCCCTTTTCATCTATATGTTCTCTGAAGGAAATCTTCACACCCTACAACCTTTAGTCCTTACTGTGTACTGATTGCAGTCCTCACTAATGCAAGACCTCCAAGTGTGCCTGCATAGTCTTGTGACCAAAATCACATGGTGGATGGAAAACTCCTCCCTCAGAAAACAATTCTTTAAATCATAGAAAACACTCACTGTTCTCTACTGATCTCTTCAATGTCTAGGTACCTTCAACAATCACTAATACATTCAACTGTTACCCTAGATACACTGAGAAACAACTGTTACATTCTAATGTTTAGTCTAGATACAATGATTCTACTAGATTCCCACTACAACCTCCTAGCCACTTTGGGCTTCTGATGCCCTTAAGCCAACAGGTTAAGAAAGGAATAACCTGATGTCAACCGTGGGTTTCCAAATGCGTGCACACACACACACACACACACACACACACACACCTATACACGTCAAAACACATTTACACTACACATACATACACAAAGATAGAAAAGATACATATGCACATTTCTGTATGCCGAGAGAGAAGCAGAGCATAAATGATAAACACATTGATCACCTGCTCACGGCTCCCTTCATCCTATATCTTGTTTTGTTCTTCTTGGCCCTTGTGCTGGTTTCCTTGAACACTTTCCTATCTGCCCAAGTACCCATTCAAGTCACACATGTTCCAATAAGGAGTCCAAATGCACCTGCACTTCCTCCCACTCACTTCCTAAATGCACCTGGCTTTCTCCCACTCACTTCCTAAATGCACCTGGCTTTCTCCCACTCACTTCCTAAATGCACCTGGCTTTCTCCCACCCACCTAAATGCACCTGGCTTTCTCCCACTCAGTTCCTAAATGCACCTGGCTTTCCCCCACGCACTTCCTAAATGCACCTGCACTTTGTCTCACCATGGCCTTTCCCTTTCCCTCCCAGCGCTGATACATTTTTAAATTACGGGAGTCTCTCTTGTCTCTCCTCTCCCTTGCTTATCAGCAGCCCTCTCCAGGTCGGTAAGTGTTACAGCTCTGAAGGGAAAGGCATTCTGGCAGTCAGGAGCCAAGGAATACCACAAAGTCACAACAAACCTTACACAATAGATTTATGGGGAAAGACACAAGGGTAGCTGCTTCTGCTCAGGAGAAAAGCAGCAAAGAACTGAGGGGAGGCAGGCAGTGTACAGGATGTCTTGAGGGCAGAGTTTTCAAGAGTGGCAATTTCCAGGGTAGGGATTGGTGTGCTTTCAAGTCCTAAGCTTGGCCTTTCTACTCAGTAGGGCAAAGTTTGGCAGTCTGAATCTCAAGGGGCTGGGTTCTGTGGGCGGAGCCTGGCAGTTGGAGGTCCTCAGGGGCAGGGCCTGGTCACTCCCATGCCTTGAGGGTCTTACATTCCCCCTACTCCTTTTATGTTTACTATTGATAAACAATTGGGTCAGGAAGGGTGCAATGTTATCTTTAGATGACTTCTTGCTGAAAGGGGACATCAAAGTCCTTGGGGCTTGATCTTCACCACCACAGGATATAATCAGGAGTTACAGGCCTCTGACTCTATATCTAGCAGCCTGTGATCCTGTAATAGTAACTGATTAAAAATTATGATTAGAGGGCTGGAGAGATGGCTCAGAGGTTAAGAGCATTGCCTGCTCTTCCAAAGGTCCTGAGTTCGATTCCCGGCAACCACATGGTGGCTCTGTAATGAGGTCTGGTGCCCTCTTCTGGCCTACAGACATACACACAGACAGAATATTGTATACATAATAAATAAATAAAAAAAATATTTAAAAAAAATTATGATTAGAGGGCTGGAGAGATGGCTCAGAGGTTAAGAGCATTGCCTGCTCTTCCAAAGGTCCTAAGTTCAATTCCCAGCAACCACATGGTGGCTCACAACCATCTGTAATGAGGTCTGGTACCCTCTTCTGGCCTGTAGGCATACACACAAACAGAATATTGTATACATAATAAATAAATATTTGAAAAAAAATATGATTAGAAATCTTTTGGATCTGTTGTTAAAGAAACCTAAACAAGAAGCTTAAATATTAAACAAGAAGTTTAAAACAACTTTAATATTATCCACACTCAAAAGACAGTGGATCTCTGCTAAACTGAATCTGATGGCCAGAAATCCCAGAGATGAATTCTGAACCCTCGCCATCAAAGCAGCCATGGCAAGCTGCATTAGTGACAGTGACTGGCAGCTGGCAGTGGCAGAGAAATCAAAAATAAAACCTATAAACACAGAACACAAAAGTTCACACGCTCAAAGGAGATCAGTCAGAAACAAAACCTGTAGGGGCCACCATTGTTCTCCCTCATCAAGTGAGCCTAATCCATTTCTGTCTCGACTCCCGCATT